GGCAAGTCGAATAAGTTGGGGGGATCAACCCAGCACCGATCAAGTGGGAGATCACCAGCAAGTCGATCAAGTGGGGATCAACCCAGGGAAGTCGCATTTCATTAGGGATCGACTCCCGCAATCTATCAAGTTTGGATGATCCACGCAAGTTGATCATGTCAAAGAACGACCCAGCCGAGGTGTTCAACGTGATAGCCGACCCAAACAAGTCATCAGGTAGGGGACCGGACAAGTCATCAAGTTGGTGATTTGACACAGCAAGTTATACAACCTCAGCATCGTAGATGAAGTGGGGATCGAACCAGCAAGCGACCAAAGTGAGAGATTCGACCCTTGCAACTCGATCAAGCTGGGGAATCTGACAGCAAGTCGATCAAGTGGGAATCCGACCCAGCAAGTCGATCAAGAGGGGATCGGCCCAGCAATAGAACAAGTGGGGGATCGACCGCAGAGTCGATCAAGTGGGAAATCGACCAGCAAGTCGATCAAGAGCGGGATCGCCCAGCAAGTCGATCAAAGTGGCGGATCGACCCAGCAAGTCGATCAAGTAGGGTAAATCGACCCAGCAAGTCATCAAGTGGACCCAGCAAGTCGATCAAGTGGGGGATCGACCCAGCAAGTCGATCATGTGGGGGATCGAACCAGCAAGACGATCAGGTAGGGAATCAACCCTGCAAGTCAATCAGTTAGGGGACCGACCTCCGCATGTCGATCAAGTAGGGGGTCGATCCCGAAAGCCATCAGGTAGGGGATCGACCCAGCAAGTCATCAAGTTTGAGATTTACCCAGAGTGTTATCAACTAGGGGATCGGACCAGCAAGTCATCAAGTAGGGGATCAACCCAGCTAGTCGATCACGTGGGGGATCGACCCAGCAACTCGATCAAGTAGGGCATCGACCCAGCAATGCATCAATTAGGGGATCGACCTAGTAAGTCATTATGTAGGGAATCGATTCAGAGAGTTAATCAAGTGGAGGATCGACCAAGCAAGTCGATCAAGTGGGGGATCAAGCCAACAAGTCATCAAGTAGGGGATCGACCCAGCAAATCATCAAGTAGGGAATCGACCCAGCAAGTCTATTAGGTTGGGGTTCGATCCAGCAAGTTGATCGTGTGGGGGATCGGATCCCCCAACTGATTGACTTGCTTGGGTCGATCCCCCACTTTGATGACTTCCTGGGTTCGTCCCCACTGATCGACTTGCTGGGTCGATCCCCCACTTGATCGAACTTGCTGGGTCGATTCCCCCACTTCGCATTCGACTTAGCTTGGGTCGATCCTCCAACTTTGATCAACTTGCC